TTCAGCAAGTGGATTTCGGCAAGTTGCACTTTAGAAACAAAATCCTCCATCACATGGTGTAGCTAGTTTTGTGGCCCTTGATACCGAAAACTCGAATGACGGCAAAACGTCGATTCTTTCCCAATTCTGGCCGGTGGGTAGTGACGCAGGAGCGCGTAAGACAGAGGCGCGCACGCGGAGATGCTATCTGGCGGTCCTCTTGACAGCTGACTACGACGAGACGTGACATGACATACTAGTAATGAAGGAATACTCCTAATGAGCGCACTCAATTAGTGGGAGATTTCTCCAGGCGCGAAGAGCTCGGAGGCGCGTTGCGTCTCCACAAGACGCCACAAATTTAAAAAAAGATAGCGTTTGATAAGCCAACGTTGATATCTTTATGTCTGTAATCCCCGGACCGATATTTTTGCTTTTCGACACAAATAAATGATAAGCGTTATTTAAGATATGTCCTTATACACTTCTACATATCTCATCCCGTTTTTGAATTAAAGTGCACTTTTTGAACATATGAAGTAAAAAGTTGTTCTGGAGATATAAAAAATAAATTCACGCTTACTTTGGAAAAGTATCCCGCGTGACTATCACGATTTTGATGAAATTTTATATGCCAAGTTCCATGTGTCTCAGAGGAACTTTTGTGAAGTTGTAGCTGTATTGACAAAACAGTTTTTGAGATTTATTTGATCCCGTGGAGTGTTATTGTACCGTACTATTATAACATGTTTTCAACTTTGGCAAACATCATTTCCTTCTCCGTTATTTCCTATTACGTTTACATAGTAAAGAAAAAGTATATGTCGCAACGGAAATCATCTATTTCGTGACAGAGAAACTTGTATTGCCGGACCCAAACGAAAAAAAATTGGATAAATCTTCTTCTTATATATAATAAATCACTTCCTCTAACAAGTTGTGTTCTCAGAATCCGTTTTGTAAGTACTTGATACCGAAAAATCAATTTACTGCTAAATGTCAGTCTGTCTGTCTATGTTCAATGCTAGCACTTAAATCGGGGACTTGCGACTCTCCATCAGAACAGAGGACAAAGCTCGAGGGCGCTACTATAGGAGGCGCTAGTGTCACCAGGTACAGCTGCAGGGTAGGCTCGCCAACTTCCGCACAAAAAAATTTTCAAACTTGTGAGAAATAGTAGAAAATAAGACAGTGAAGAAATAGAAAGTGTCTTTTAAATTATTCATAATATACACATATAAGAAACCCCTGAAGAAATCGCGAACATCGGCGCAATCTTTTGTACGAGTCACATTGCTTGCGACCCGCCAACTCACACAGCACATACGCAAATTTTAAGTATCGTTAGCAGCAGTTTGTGTTTTAGTTCCTTGAAGAAGGTGCTGCAGCAGAGCGCCACCGTAATAGTTTCCACCTCGTTACATGGGAGTTTAAGGACCTGGCTTAAATCCTTCAGACTATTTTCTACAAAATTGGCATTTCCCAATCTACTCGAACCGCCCGCAATGAACAGAGTCCACCCTGCGAGTTTGAACCGGTTATTTTCATTTTTGGGGAGACTTTACATGACTCCTCAACATTTTGTAAGAAAGGCTTCTTTTTAATTACGCTTTGCCCTGGGACAGAAGCCGTAGAAAACGCTTCAGAAATTATGCGCATAGCTCATTTTTGTTGAATTTTCCACATTTTCCAAAATTGCCAAAGTTAAAATTTTTCGGCTCCTTCCCACAACAACAATGTTGAAGACAGATTTTTTCGGAATGAAACCTGTTGGTTCAAGACCGATCTAGAAATAAATCATAAACAGAATGTTTCAAAACTTTCAAGTTTCCGCGTAATTTTGCGATATATTTGTAAATATATGCAATTTGTAAACAGATGTTTTCTCAGAAACAAACCTAAATTTTTTTCTCAACATTTTTTCCCTTGTATGTCGCAAAGGACGGTAAGGAAACTGATGCTCTCATTTTTGGGTGAACTCTCTATATTTTAAAAAAACTTCACAATCTTAGCATTACAAAATTATAATGTTAATGACAGAGATTTTTTTCTTAAAATATATTATTTAATTAAGGTATTGTACTATGTTTTGAAAACACCAGTAGTTTTCGCGTAATTTCTGCTTGAATTTAATGTAGTTAAATTAAGTGTTTAAACATTTCCACCAATGGACATTTAAAAAACGGCGCAGGTCTAATTTTTGTAAAACTCTTTGGATTTTCGAAAATTGCATAAGTTAGAAAGAATGAGTAAATATATTATGTTGTAAGGTATTACTAGGAATGTAGTACCTCCGACTTTTCTCAAGTAATAGTATTATATGGAATAATTTCGTTATCAAGTAAAGATGTTTATAAAGTTCCCCCGCTTGTTGGTAGTTCTTCTCGCATGTTTAATCACGGGTATCGTGGAAATAGGCGCATCAGGCCCTTGAACCAGCATCTCGGGGCCACCTAAACCTGTTTGGATGGCTAAGGACATCAATTGCCATCACTGCAGTACCTGTGATCCTAAGGTGGGACTCCCAACGGAGGCAGGAGTTTCGACACTAACTACACAGCTAGGTCGAATACAGCCGCTATCTAGATGATAATCCTAGAGGCCTCCGATCGATTTTTCCGATCTACACTAGGCGAATGCCGGAGCAGTATCCTAACAAAACTGGCATGGACAGCGCGAGATCTTTCCTTCCTCTTCCTTGTCCTATCCTCACTCCTTAATTGTACACACACGTACATGCACGACACTACTAAAGATGCAGGGAGAGCGGTCGGGAGCCCCGGCTGAGGCGATGGGAGATACCTGGTTGGGGAAAATCCCGCACGTCGACGTGCACGTCAGCGCTGGATCTCACCATCCAGAGGGGAAGATTTCCGCCATCTCAAGCGATAGGAAACTTGCACTACGCTCACAGGGCAAGGGCCTTGGATCACACATCGAGTTGTGTGAGAGGCATGATGTGCAGGTCTCGGATTCGGATGGCATTTCATCCTTTCATTGCGCATTCTAGGCGTAGTTAACGTTTAAATGAAAGTTTATTATGACATGTCGAATATAAAAATGAATAGTTATTGGGTCATTTTTTGTTATTTCTCAATTTTTAGAACATTTTTCTGGACATTTACGTCATTTTTACGCATTTGGTTTCCTTTTCCTGATTTTTGATAGTGAATGTTTCATGTATTTACAATGACACACTAAAACGATGAATTTATGCGTCATTAGTTCATGACGATATTCACAATCGCAGAGTCTGTTTTTAGAACTCTCAAAACCGATGGTTGTAAGATCGGTGCCTAGGATTACATTTCCTCTTAAAATAAAGACTTTATTTTAATAAAATTCTACATGTATAAATTTTATTTGACGTTGAAACATTACTTGAATAAATAAACATTCACTCAAATATTTGAGTATTTTTTTAAAAATTAGATAATTTCCCTGTATTTTAAAGTAAGTTTGTATGTCATTTTCCTTTAACTTATGTTTAAGTCATTTGAAAGAACTTTTATGGGAATGACGAGTGTGTGTGTGTGTGTGCGCGCAGGGTGTTCCTGCCGCTGGGCGTGGACGGCGAGGGCCGGCGGGTGATCCTGTTCCGCGGAGGCGCCTACGACCCCACCGAGGTGGACATCAACGACGTCTTCAAGGCCAACATGATGATGGTGGACGTGATGGTGATGGAGGACGACGCGCTCATCGTCAAGGGGCAGGTGGGCGTCATGGACATGTCCAACATGACGGTGGCGCACGCCACGGCCATGACGCCCTCGCTCGCCAAGAAGTCCATGACCGTCTTCCAGGTGGGCGCTCACACTCCACGAAACATTTCATGACTTGAAGTGAAGAAGGATGCAAGTGCCATTTTCCTACTTTCGAGGAAAATTAGTGTGTGTATATATATATATATATATATATATATATATATATATATATATATATATAGTGAGTGTACTTGGTCTGTCAACACGTATATGAAGCAATGATTGCATATTATTTCATTGATTGGATAAAATTTATTAATACGGGACAGGAAATCCGTTGCAGAGGGAGGGATCTTGTTGGTTCGATGCAACTTATCGTACATTAAACAAAGTGAAAAGAGGTTTAAAGAGTAAGAACAATACAAAGAAAACATTTATTAACTATAATTAAACTATCAAGGACCCACAAACCACGTGATTTTCCTAAATTTAGCAACTGAATTTATCCTCTTTTTGTTATTAGGACCAAGCAATAAGAGCATTTTTAGGCGAAAATTCCCCGTTTTTTCTGCAACATTACATAACTTTGGAAGGGAAAAATCCCCATATGGAAAGTTAATTGACCCAATTTTGTTTAAAAAAGTTATTCTAATGAAATTTCCAATCTTGTAGAATACATTTCCATCGTCAAGTAATGTATTGTAGGTGTTATAATTTTCTATTTATTTCAAATCTTCCACTTGCCCAGCGCCCCCTGTCAGTACTAAGATACAATTGCAATACTATAATAGTGCATTACTACAACAAACTAATCGAGAAACCACGTGTTGCTGTAGCGCCAACAGTTTATGTATCCCTTCGATCCTAACCTTCTCCACGACTAGTTTATATTTCTGATCTAACCTAACCTATTGTTTCATCAATATTCTTTTGAGCGGTTTGTTCAATTTGGTCATCAGTGTTGTGCTATTCGAAATAATATTTGTTTTTATTCAACAGATTGTTTAATGTTTACTTGGGAGTTCTATAAAATATTATTTGATTCTAGGATGGATATCCTCTGCGACCAAAAGCCATGCATTACCTCCACATGAAGTCTATTTTTGAATCTATCTTCAATCTCTTCAAGACGTTCATGAAGGAAAAATTAAGGAATCGGGTATGTGCGATGTGTGTCTTTCGATGCATTGCAAGCTGAAGTGTAGAGCATTTCCAGAATTACATGTTTGTATTTTTTAAAATAAACGCTTTCTTAACAAAATATTATTTTATTACAATGTTTAAAATATTTCTAATCGGGCTTTCTCACATTGGCAGGTCCATGTTCATTCCGACTTGAATACCTTCTACCAGAGTGTCCCGAAAGAAATTTTGCCGAAGGAGTACGGAGGCAATGCAGGAACAATAAAAGAAATATCTGGTAAGTGTTTGACCTTAATCTGCGATAACTCATTGTTTAAACCCTATTAAAATATACGATTTAAAGAGCGGATGAAAAGTACTTTTAGACGGGACTTTATCTATAAATAAATATAAAGTCTTTTATGTATCACTGTTTCTATTGCATTCATATGCATGTGCCCTTATACTTTAATGCTTGTTTTGAAGGAATTCTTTCAATTCTAATATTTCTTCATGGCGTGGTAATGTGATTTTTGAACTTAAGTACTTTTCAATGAATAATCTCTGAATATTATGTGTCGTTGAAATGTATAAACAATAATATACAAATGTTTAAAGTTGTTTACCGATGATACTTTTTTATTTTCTATTGTGTTTTTGATGTTAGTACTAGCGAGCAAAAGGAATACGCGGCTTATTCGTTGTGTGTAAAACGTGTTTAAAAACGATGTTGTCTTTATAGTATTGCGCAACCAGACAATAGAAAACCTAAATTTGAAAACAGGTGTAATTTTGGGAGTACAAAGAACAAGTATAGTGGCAAGATGTGCATTTACAATTTTTATTTAACGTAATTATTCGTAATAAATTTATTCTTAATAATATTAAGGCAGAAAAAGTTAGCTGACAAGTGTATGTAGAACCTAATATGGACACGGGCCTTGGAGCAAGATCGCATTTTCGGTAAAGCGATCTAATGGCACATATTTCTTTTATTCCCAGGACTGCCGATTGGTGTTAAGTCCGAGTGGGTAGTTGAACCCGGGTGGGGTTCCCCCTCCCCATCCATCACCCACGGAAAATTAATATGAAGGGAAATATATTTTTTTCAAATTGTCATATTTATCATTAAATTGTTAAAACAACTATTTTTTGAAAATTAGGCAGTTCATTTATACAATGCAAAAAGAGCGCTGCGCTTTGTATTTTTTATAGTATAAACTCTTTTAACAATTTTTGCAAATCGATTTTGTCGGCTAATGCCGCTATAAACTTGTAAAATCGCAATATTGTTGAGCCGATCTAGTTGATCGCAGACACATTTTGAGTCGACGGAATACCGAGAAACTTCGTTTATTTCTGGAAGCTGACGTTTATGGAATATTTTTCTCACCCCAAATTACGTGTGGGTATTTTACCCAATCGAATTTTTCGTGTGGGTATAGCTACCCAATATACACATATTATCCGCCGGGTCTGTTAACTCCATCAAATGAGAGGAAGTGGGTGATCCACGATTTTTTTTTTTAATTTGAGCACAAAATACTTCACGGCACCTGATTTCTATTATTTCCATTTGCAATGACAGGGAATATTTATGAATCTCCGGCGATGACGTTCTACATGGTTTTACAAATAAATCAATTTTTCAATTAATAAATTCCTTCTCAGATTCGAAAGACGAAAATTTTGTTGGGAATACCCTGCACAATTCTGTAACTGCTGCTTTGTATATTAAATGATCCACGATAAATTCCTTTAACATGACTGCTGAATATTTGGAAAATTATTAAGTTAGCACCGCGTTAAGATGTTACAAAACAATTTAAGCTTCAATTGAAAAGTGTTGACTTCATTGAATGTGGATGGAAACAGAGACTTCGCCTAGTTACCAATATTCAAATGATGTGACACATCAGCTAAAAATTATTTATTCTTCAAAAATTGTCTAAACTCTCTTCAACAGAGGGCGGATGCTCGATTTATAGTAACGCTTCTCAGAACTGAAACAATGACGTGTTGAAAGCCAATGTCTTTAGCATACAATGCCTTCTGATGAATAATAGTGTTGTGAAAGAGACTTCCTATATAAATACTTCTCAAGCAAAATAAAAATTTTAACACAGTGCGCGAAACGAGGTTTCTCATGGTTGATTTCTGAAGGCGAAACTGCTAATTTTTTCAGTGTGCGAAACATCTGTAACGATTCGCAATTGTCTTTCGTCTAGACGAGTCTTTACTTATTATATACAAACAATAGTGTTACGACACTGACCAGAATGCATTTACTTTTGTAAAGTATTTCTTCAATATTTAATTTATATTATTTTCCTTGAGACATTGCGTTTCGCTCACGGCGTGTTAAAAAATACTGTAGGCAACATGGGCGCAAGGCGAATTCCCCACTCGTCTCTTTGTCCTCATCACTACGCTCGGACGACAAACTCGACTCATGGGTGTCGCACCCTTGTGACGAAAAATACTACTTCTCTATCCTAACATCGTTGGATCGCCATCTGTACAAACGCTCGGAAGTGTATACCATTGAAGTTTATTGCTGCCAACGCCACTATTTTCGGCTCCGTTTCAAATATATCTCTTACAGTTTCTGTCGATAAACAACAAAGCTTCTCAAACACATCGAAATTGACTTTTTTCTTCTCCCGTTGCATAATTCTGACATTTGATGGCTGCAACTCGTTGCGTAATGATACTCGTTGCGTAATACAGATATCATTGTGATACAGCATTTTGACCAATCACAGAGAAGTTTACAAACCAAAGATAGGGTAGGAAACTGTGACCTTGACTGAATCCTGCATGACAACTGTCAAGAAACGATTCAATGTAAAAGTTTAACTTACAAAAGTTACCATAGTTGTAGAGAAAGTACCGTATGAAACTCGATATAATGGGTTTGTAACTTGGGTGTAACTTTACACTCGTGTAAAGTTTGCAATACTAGCTCGTTTCTCGCTTGTATCGTAATCACACTCTTGTATTTATTAATACCCATCATTACATCATCGTTTCATTATGTATTATTAGGCAATTCTCATCACAAGAAACTGAGCATTACCTGTCATGTCGCCACTCGCATCTATTGCAATAGCGAAGTATCTGGAAACATAGTTACAGTCGTATTTTTTGTTTTGATAATCCCTTGCTATTTCTTCAATGCGCCTCATGATTATATTTCGAGATAGGGAAACATTCGTCGCAAAACGTCGGTCCGTATGTCCATCTGTGAACAACGCCAGTGCCTAAACCGTTTAACTAATTTCTCCAAAACTGATATTCCCCAATCGATCTGCCTGATGTTGCAGCAATTTGAATTAGAAACCGATATTGTAATTTTTGGGGAAACATTACATTACGATTCAAGGTCAGTAGGTCTACAGGAAAAAGTCTGTAGACCTCTCTACTGTACTAAGGTCTAATAAAAATGTGTCTACAGCTATATTAAGTCCAATGATTAAACGTCCACAGCTAAAATGCCTACCAACGACATTCCTGCATGTATCACCGAAAAAAAGAACTGTTGGAGTATACCAGATCCATGGTACAAATTCCCTTGTTACAGTATCATGGATCAGGTACGCTCTAACGGTTCTTTTTTTTTCAGAGTAGACATACTTGAATTAGACATTTTTCATGTAGACTAGTTCGATGTGTAGACATTTATAATGTAGACCTTTTAGAGTAGACCAAATGTCGTTAGACCTCAAATATTAGTTATTATTTTTCGTAGATCTTATTTCTGTGGACCTACATGACACCCCTGGGACATTTTCCAAATGTTCAAGGAGATGACACGAATGTTTTCATTGAATTTTGTAGTGTGAAAGCGCATTCGAATATTGAATTGTACGTAGTTTAACGCGTAATGTGTCGCCCTGCCCGCAGAGGAGTGGCAGAAGAAGCTGGAGGCGTGGCGGCAGTACTTCGCGGAAGACGACCAGTTCTGTGCAGTGGAGAGCAAGCGGCCGGGCCGGCCCAAGACGCACCAGGACCTGTTCGGCCTCGAGGGCTCCTTCCGCCCGCTCGCCGTCGACTGAGCGCCGCCGCCGCTCCGTTGCACGCGTGGGGCAATTCTTAGGTTAGGCTGCGATTCACGCACAAGAACGAGCTACGCCCGGGAAGATTCGGTTCCTTCTGCCGCAGCGCAATGCCTTCGCGCGCGCTTCCTTCCCGCCGCATTGCGACGCCAAATTACTTCCAAAGGAACGATTTCTCGCTTCGCTCGCCCGGGTCCAAGGCACGGCGTTCACTATACACAACCTTGAGTCCATCCACTGCATAATTACCAATTCACTATTATAAGTACGCACTTTCGGACACGAACACTCTTTCACAAAAATACCATAATTGTGGCATCATTTTATAACATTAACTAACTCATCTTTTCGAATCCGTTCAAAACCTACATTGTGAACACACGGGCCTCTAGTATTCAAACTGCGCTGTTGCAAGCTCGTTATGAAGATCCCTGTTTAGAATCGAATCCAACGAACAGTTCTCAGTGAACGAGTCGTAACCTAAAATAAGAATTAGCCCACACGTACCCGTTAATTCTTCACGAATAATTAACCACTAATTACAAATTCTAAAACTCACGCGAAAATGCTAATATGTAAAATGGATTATGTGGAAATGTTAATAATCGTTTCAATAGACTGTACTAAGAGAAACACAAACTCTTTTAAATGTGCCACTCTCTTGAACAAAGAATAATTACGATAAAATTGGACTAGTTATTTTTACTCCCAATTCCAACTTGTGTATCAGGTTCTACTTCCCTACACTCTATTTGTTTTGCAGCCTCACAGTAACAAACAACTTTGAGGAGACATGGAAAAATACTCCTCCACGCTTATTGCACATCTACTCGTAAATTATTCACAAATAATTAACCCTCCGCATAGCAAGTTCTAAATGCAACGCCGAATATTTCGGCGGGGTACGAGTGGGTCCCTCACGAATGTTATGCAAGATTGCTTCGAAATGGGAAATAACTAACTCAGGCATGAACATACTAATAGAATAATTTTAATAGAATTAGCTTTATTACCTTGTTTTTCTTTTAGAAGACCACGCCCCGCCACCAAAATACCTTTTAGGATCATTCATATTTATTATTTTCGTGTCAGAATGTTGACTGAAGATCAATTAAAACAACTTGTCCAGGACAAGACATTTCCGGGCACACCGTCCTGTTGTTCTCGCGCGTCCTCCAACTTGGCCTGAAGAAGTGCGAGCCCGCTGCTTCCCCTCCAAGCAGACATTTCATTGCACTGCATTGTTCTTAGATGTTTTCAGTATATCTTCAACTTATGATTTGATTAGTTCTTGACCCACGCCCCAAATACATTTTCTCTTTTAACATTTTATGTGTTCTAAGTTGCCTCGACATTGTCCTTTGAAATTCAAAACACACCAACTAGGAACTTCACTCACTAGAACAGATTCTAACATGATGATTCAAATACGTAACTGGAAACATGCAGGCTTGTCCATAATGCCATTTCATTTGAAGCAAAAGATTTGCGTGTGAATCCATGAAGGATAATGTTCAAAATAATGCATAAGGAATAAAACTAGGTGACGTGTAACACCAAGAGGGGTACAAATGTACCTCAGAGCTTGTTTTAGTTAGTATACGTACAGCACCTTAAAACTATCACATCCTTTAGTATGTAATTGTCAATTGAAGTTTTTCAGACAAACGAAATTTTAATATCACAAAATTAGCGCAACGTTTACACGAAAAAAGTGAGATTTTGGCACACACTCCCGATTTTGGGTTACACCCCGCTTGGTATGCGGAGGGTAAATTCCAAAACTCATGTGCAAATGCTAAAATGTAAAATGGATTATGTGGAAATATTACGAACTTTTGTCTCAGCAGGCTGTACTAAGAGAAAGACAAAGTATTTTGTGTTTCAAATGTGCCACTCTCTTGAACAACGGATAATTACCCAAGAATTAATATGTTTCTTTTTGCCTCTCAATTCCAATGTGATATCATATGCATCTACTTCCCTTCACTTGTTTTGCTTTGCAGCCTCACAGTAACAAGCAACACTGACCGGCGCCTCTTTGACGACTCCACTGTTGGGAAACAGAACGCCAAGTCATGATTCAAAGGAATTTCTGATTCAGGCAGTATATTTTTGGGATGATTCTCCTGGTAGAAGCTTAAAGTCCGCCCTTATTTACATTTGAAATATAAGAAGAATTCAAAAAGAAACGAGCCGGAGGCCTAGAAACAAAAACCAGTACATCTATGCCAGAAGTATTGGCCCTGGCTTTTGAGGCACTTGTCTCGCTACAACACAACGCGGTGGATGGATGTCTCGTCCAATTCCCGGGACTGCGTTGTAAAGAGTTCCGTACATACTACTAAACGTCGTCGTCCGAAGTGAATTGTTTCTTTTTTCATCTGAGAGCGATCGAATTACTGAGAATCGAATCGATGCAAGCACTCCAGCCTCTTTCCAAATTTCTCCCAACCAAAGACGTAGGCTTAATGAATGCGAGTGATGAGGCGTATCCTGAAGTTTTTCGGCTTTTAAACATTTTCTGTTAAGAATATATTTCTGTTCCCTTTGTACCTTTTGTTTTTTCTGTGCGCATTTTTCGACAGACGTTTGTCTGCTCACTGGATGGGACGGGCCGAAAAACATCCCATTGACGGTCTCGCCTTGATATGGAAGTCATTGAACTTACTGCTACAAGCTGGGTGCAAAATGCGAGGTGTCGTCCATCGGTGCTGATTTCTCTCTTACTTGCCCCGATGCTTCGCCTTCGCCGCCTTTGAGCGCGTCCTCTTCTTCCTATCGGAGGCCTGGGAATTCCAGTGATCACGTGCTAAAGGCTGCGGACTCCGCAGGTGCGAGGGGGGAGGGGCGCTTTGACCACACTGCAATACATATTTTTGCCAACTATCCTTATGCAGAATGTCTGCATGTAGGGAGAGGATTTCTATGATTCTGCAGTTTTTTGACTCAAAGCATTTTTTCAATCAAAGCATGTTTCTCGTGAATTTGATCAAGAAAGGTTTATACAGGAAATGAAATATTGTTAATTTTTCTTGCATATTAATGGAAATTTTTCAGTTTTTTGGTCATAAATGCATATTCTTTAATAGAATATTTCAAGATTTTTAGGTCATAAAAATCCTCTCCATATCTATAAATAACAAGATGTAGGCCACCTGAACTGACAAAAACTTCGACTGGTTGTCGATTTGTTATCGATATTTTCACGTACGTTGTGTGTTAGCACACGAGCTGAGTTTTTCTTGATACTGTTACATAGCTTAATATGGACTCTCATGAGGAAAAATCATACTTTCGCAGCGATAACATAATAATTAGAATCCATAATTTTCGTATGATAGGGCAAACACTTAATTTGTATAAGTGGCGAGGAAACGTGTCAGGAAAAAGCGAGAAAAAACCAATGTCCTATAAAACAGTTTTTAAAAAACTCATGAATACCAGAAAATAGAGACAAATCCGCCTCTAATTACACAAAAATTTATTTACATTTGTATTGTCCATTTCAATGAAATTTTGTTTTATTGTTTTGCTTATGACTGTGATAGTAAGTAATGCAAAATTGGCAATTCATAAGAATATACAGTGTACATCGTATAATGGAACACTACAAATTAAATAGTGCGATCTAGATTAGAAAACTTTCATGTTCTTTAATCCATAACATTTTCATCACATCACCATGCTTGCCGAGCAGGAGTTACCACTGCTCAACATATCTCATACCCAATCACCTGTGTTTCATAGGATTAGGCACACAACATTTAATAAACAGAGAACTGACAAAATAGCTTTATTTCCAAATTCATTATTCATAATTCAATTTTTTATCATTACTGAAACCTAGCTGGAATTAGCAAAAATAAAATGTAAAGCAACACTACAAAAATGTTACACAACACAGAGATCTACATGCAAATAATTATATACCAAAATCTTTAACATAACTCGATTCACACTAACAGAACAAAACAGAGATGAATGTTTATTACAGTTTATTCAAGTCCAATTTATTTTATGGAGAACTGTAAAGAAATCAACCTTTTCTATACTCCTCTTCTTGTTGAAATTTTGGCAACATTTCCTCCAGAAATTTTGCATGTTTGTCTGAAATAAATAACAAATGATTATTTACTTCAATATCTTTTGATAGGCCCACCCTCAATACATAGGTTCAAAAAGTATTTAGCTTAAGAAAGAGTGAACTCATTAACACAATTCTCATTTAAGAATGTACATTTGTGATGTAATTTGAATATATCACTACCGACGTCTGTGTGGGAAAACGATATTTTCTCATATTTTAGATAAATATTCTTTACTTCTGAAAGGGAAGGTTTATGAGGCTTGAGTATTACATTATCCTGTACACTTCATTATAAGTTATAAATATTTTTTTTTGTTTCAGGGTCAATCCATTTTAAGTGGTCCAGAATTGAATAAATAGGCTCGACCATCTCGAAAAAAATTTCGTTTTGTACAACATTTTCTTATGTTTTGGATGTTCAAAAACACCTTTATTTTTTTTATTGTGCCTGGGTTACAAATGGCGGCCATTTTGGTATTACGCCGTGCATCATTTTTCGCGTTTGTACATATTTACTCTTTCCTAAAGTACTCAGCCCCGCGTTGTTCTAGCATTTTAGAATAAACAGTATTGGATTCAATATACTCTGAATTAAAATAGAAATATTAATTACCTTCTATGTTTTTATTTGGGAAATACTTGCAACCAAATTTATGGAATGCGAATGAACGACATTCGATTTTTAGAGAGTAATTTCTCAAAGAAGGAATAGAATCACAGCTTTAATTTTGTCTGCGCTTTTACACATAACAGTATCAGTACTTTTTGTAAAATGCCATTGGTAAATAACGTGTCACTTGAAAATGACATCCTCTTAAAAATTGAAATTTTGGATTTTTTTCAAATTTCAACTGTAATATCTCTGTTGGGAGACTAGATACGAATCTGAAAATTACACACATACTAGATCGCTGTGATACTAAATTACAGTAAAAATTTAAACTTTTACATTTAACTACAAGTATTTCTTTAAAAATTGTAACCTTTTGGAAAAAAGAGCTTCATTTCTACATTGAGGATACGTTGTGCCAAGTAGTAATCATATAATTTTGCAGTTATTTTAAACTAAAAACTACTCTGATTTCAAATAATTAGTTATACTTTATTCTTAATAAACATAAAAGTGGCCTTATATAGTGCAGACGAAAAGTTATGTTTTCGTTTCGGAATAACTCGTGATATCACATCCCTCTGCAAGTACCTCATACAAGGGAAATCATAGTGTCTAACATGTTATTCTAAAATTCAGTTGCAATCATTAGTTCTAAGGAGTACTCTATGACTGTTCATGTATCTTTGTAGAAACATTCACAAATTATAAGCAGAATGATAAATTTAAACGCAAAAAAATAAACAAAACGCCGAATTTATTTATTTGTTATATTTTATAAATAAATTTTGTATTAGCCGGTTTCGTTTTTAAAATCATGATGACCATATTTCCAATTACAAACGTGTATGTCAAGTTGTCAGTTTGATTTAAAGTGGCTTAATACATAAATTTTCAATATTTTGTATATTTTATTAATATACAAAATATTGAAATTTATACATAAAGCCACTTTTATGTTTATTAATAATGAAGTATTTTAAATCAATATAGATTTTAGTTTGAAATAGCTTCAAAATAATATGATTACTAATTGGCTCAACGTATCCTCGATGTGGAAATGAAGAAATGCTTTGACATTAGGTCGAGTCTGGAACATGTTAGTGGGTAGCACCTTAAATCTAACGCCGTATGAAATATCGAAATCTGATAGGCACATCGTAACGTGGAATGTGACATAGTAAAACATCTCCAGTTACGTCTGGATTCGTTTTGCTTTATTTTTTATTTATTTATTTACTTCAAAAACAGTTAAAAACAGTGTGACGGGCTTTGGGGAGAAGTTAATTTGAAATTACATTTATATCCAGCAGCAACACAAGGGGCCATCTCAGCATTTGCTCAAGGATCAGGGAAACTGGACGAAAACCTGATCGAGATGGGGGTCATTGAACCAGAAGCTGAAGTACAATACTTGGTACAGATTATTTACAATTATACAATCCAAATGGTATAAAATACATTAAATGCCATTGTTAAAATTAATATTTCTTTCCTTTTGGATGCTTGTCGTTCACACGGCATGTGTACAATGTGCCCGGCTCAAAGCCACCCAAATCTAGAGCCAAACAAACCGGTTTCTCGAAAATTCAAAACTGTGAAAATGAACTTAAAATTGCGATTGTTCATAAACGTTAAAACTACATTTTCCCAAGAACGGATCCAATTTTTTCAATGAAAATTTCCTTATAGGACTGTTTTACTATAATATTTTAAAGTAATATTCCGATTCGGGGATGGAAGAACTTAGAAAATGTGACAAAATTTCGTTTTAACGCCCGTAGGGAAGAGGGTGGGGCCAGACAGCTAGCCTGGACTAAAAAGATTATTAAACTTAACTAGTTAGTGAAGTCTGTGCCATTCTGTAGCACTAGTTTACTACAAGGGGCTCGGGACGTGTCCGTGCCCATGTCCAAAGTTACGTTGATGTATTTTCTTTTGTTTTATTGCCGAACATTAAATTCTGAAGTTCAATGTATTAGTGTAGGTATTAGTATATGTGTGATTTTTGTAAATGCATCAATCTGTCTCTTCCCCCACCCATAAGTTAATATTCTAAATTAATTCATCGTCTGCACGATGTCACTGAAGATCGTAGGTAGACGGCCAACATTTCGTTAACAATGGTAATTAATAAGCAGGTGAACCAGACATTGTGTGTCCGAGAACGAATATCAAAAGACAACTATAAATAAAATTTCAATGTTCAGAAAAAATGAAGTGTTAATGGGCGCGAGTAAATCATTCTTACCGTGCAAAGTATCAATGTCTTCGAGAACGCCGCCATAATCTATTGGAAGGCAAGTAGTCGGCAAATGTTTTTGAAGAGAGGCATTATCAGTGTGAAAATGCAGCTGAAACAGAGAAGAGCACAGAGAAAAAAGTCATAAGAAATAAAATAAACAAAATTGGAAAGCTTGTTAGATTTTTGCATACTTTATGGTTTTGATTTAATCGACTTTATTCATTTTGCGTCAGAGAAGTAAAAGTTGTGGGTGGCGTATCGTCAAAAAGTGTAGTCAGCGCTCGATTGTTTTGATCAACAGAATATTTTCCCCCACCCTTTTACCGTAAATAATTAAATCACAGTATACGTATTTGTACAGTAGCGCAGCTCAGCCCGTATTTGGGGGGGGGGGCTAGTTAGGGTGAGCGCGCATATAGCTAGCGATCCAGGCGGAGTTCAAGTAAAATTACAGATAGATTACAGAAAACCTATTACAGAAGAACACCTACTACAGAAAATTTAAAGAAAATAGAACGGTTTTTTAAGAGGAAAAATTGCAAAAATTACGTAAAAACCTCGAATTTTCCAAAATATTGTATCTGACCTTATTTAAAGATCTAATTTTGTACAACATACTTTGTTTGGGGGCAAAAATGTCTAGTCGTTTTTTTGTTTGTTGTTTTTTGTTTGTTTGTTTTTTTGCAATTTTCAAAAAATCAGGGATATCAACGAAAATTAAATCTACACCACTCTCTAAAGCGTCCTTAAAACCATTCAACAAAATTTAATCCAAAAATTTGGAGCTATTTTTAAAGAGCTATTTTTGAACAACAGACTTTGTCTGAGACAATATCTCCAATTTTGAAGTTTATTTTTCGAAAAATCGGGGATGTCAACAAAAATGAGACGTGCACCGTTGTCTTAAACGTCGTTTGAACTATTCAACAACATTTAATCAGTAAATTTGGAGACTTTTTTTTGAAAATTTTGAAAATGTCCGGGAGGCTTTATGTTAAGTGTTCCCAAAAATTAAAATATCGGTTTCAAAATCCTGGGGCCACAACATCAGCTAGAACGATTGGGGAATATCAATTTTGGAGAAAATCGGTTGAATGGGGTATGCGCTAGCGGAATGCATGGACAGACGTTTTGCCGTCAATCGAATTTTCGGTATCGAAGGCCCCAATACATATTCTGGCTACACCATGTGATAGAGAATTTTTTTTCTATAGTTAGCATCTGAATTTATCCTTGTCGTTACAAGGGTCGCGCAATTAGATTTCGTTTGGAAAATTCGCCGTTTTCCGGCACACGATTACATTACTTTCTCTTAGTAAGTGCGAGAAAGCAAAATTAGTAGTCGTTGAATAAGGTGTGGCGTCTTGCCGGGGCAATAAATTACAGACGTGAACGGCTTGTAAATATTTAGTATTTATTAGAAATAAAATACTCCGACACCATAATACTATATACAATATTTACAAAATAAATGACCGTTACAAAGAAGGAACTTTCCCTGGTTACCCACCACCGCTGGCCCGATAATTAATTACCATGTTCGGTGTGATGCCACGAACCAGTACCAGTACCTTACGCGAGCATACCAGCGAGTATGCCGCACCTACCGTCACGACGTAGCACGCCGCTTCGGTTCCCCGCCTCGGTCGCCTATGCATTACAATGCAACGCCGCGCGCACAACCCACACGACGCCTTACCGACGCGCCCAAGAATCAGATGAAAAACAGAAGATCGACCTAGGTCGGGATTCGCTTATATACCTTCTGGGCAGGGCTGACCGGAACTGCGTCACCCGCAGTGTCCGCCGACGCGTTTCCGCCGGGTCCGGGTCTCCACGTTGCCTCCCACGAACTTCCCTTGCTCCCTAGCCTTTTGTGCAGCCCAGCGTCTCTTCCGCCAGCGCTGTCCACGTGGCTGATATAGTACGTTTTACTGCGACAGATATGACGCCACAAAGGGTTAAAGGGGCGGAGGTGGAAGAGAAGAAGCTCCGCGGTGCTGGGCCGTGGCGAAGAGAGACGGAGGCAGACCGGGGTGGTGCTGAGACGAGAGAAGGAGCAGAGCCAAGATCGAGTTAAAGACGGAGCGAGTAGCCTCAATGAAGTAGGCGGTGGAGTAAGAGAATTCCTTAAATCCCGCGCAGCAGCCACTACGCGGTGAAAGTACACTCCGAGCCAATAATAACAACGTAGCAGATCACGGAGAGAATAGTCAGGACATGTGGAGGGCGGATTGAGCCACAAGACGACAACAGCCGGTAACGGAAAATCGGTTCTTGAACCGGACTACCCATACTGCCGGCGGGCGTGATGTCCACCGAGCGGCGTCCTTTGCCGCGGACCCGTTTAAAACCAAAGAAATGTAACATTTTTATTTCCAGAGAGCGAACTGCCGTGCAGCTGTCAACGCGGCAAAATCAATCCAGCAGAGTTTGAATGCAAGTGTGTGAAAAATTATTAACAAACAGAGGGCACAAACTCACAGACCGACGGTAATTTAATTGCGCCAGTCGTAATCTGGCGAGGCGGTTATCATCACATTCAATCTGCTCCACAAGGTAAAGTAGTGTCCAAATTCGTAAGAAAACTGACATCATAGTTGCAATGAATAGGCAGATAATTTAAAATGGCGCATGGGCAGGACACGCAGCAAGGCAAGACCATCTCAGATGGCACATAGTTACTACGTGGGCCAGCAAGGCTGAAGGACACCCCGGACGACAAGAAAAAGATATATGGACTTCTTTCAGAAGCAGCGGGCGGGGCCTGGGCCAGATATGTGAAAGAGTGGACCTCATGAAGTTACGGACTAATCCAGAAATAAAGTCGACTACAACCTCGCTGCGTCCGAAGAACGTGTGTGTGTGTGTGTATATGTATGTGTGTGTGGTATGTATATATATATATATATATATATATATATATATATATATATATATATTATAGAACCATCCACACCCAAACTTAACCACCTTCAACAGCAGCACGCATGAACCGTAAGCGGGTTATCAGATTTTGCTCGAGAAGTGAGCTTAAAAATCTACGGGTCAGGATCTTCAGGGGTGCGAGACAAGGTTTGAACTCTTGACACAATAAATCACACAAATTGCACACAAACGAGCGTATATTACCCATAAACTTTTAGTGCATCAGTTCATGCCAAAAACCAAGAATATAAATCACATTTTTACAAAGAATGATCAATACACAAATAGAAACCTTTACACACACACTAATATGAATGAACACATATAATTTACTCCCAAATTGAACTCCTGAAATAATTACCCCCCTGATCCTACCCCACCTGGGAATTCCCGCTTGGCGAAAATTAATATATTAAAATTATTGCTATTCTAATTACCCATTGGCCACATGAAAAACCAAAAATTTCCAATTAACAATCTCCGTGCTTCACAAAATATTACAAGCAAAGAACAAAATGTGTGCAAGTGCACTACTCTCATTTACAATATTCAAACCTGTGTCTGGAAATAGCAGAATGAATAAAGTCCTATAGTAAAAGTTTTATGCAGGCACATTAGCGCATCAAAATTTCTCCTCTATCAATACTGCAATTTGTTTGAGCCCACCCGTGTCCTCAAATTTCTTAACACTTTCCCTATACTAGTTTTTCCTGCGGACGTTCGTGAAACTTGGACTAATTTTCCGCGCCCCAACCGTCTACCTCCGTGGACTACCCTCACTTTGGCCTCGATGGTCGTGCGCCGGTCTTCTGCAGTCGACGTTCGCTCCGGTCCCTAGCTTCTGCTCGATAAGAGACGGCATTCGCCTCATGCCGTTCTTCTTTTCCTAAGTCGGACCTCTTCTTCCTCGACTATGGCTACCGGCGCCTTCTGACTACGCCACGGTTGCGAAAATGTCCCTCTGCACTTCAGCCGAATACTCGTGCAAGTTCTCGCTCGTTGCTCTACTTCTACTTTCTAAACCAGAACTTTCAATGCTTCTCTCCACAAACGGTCACTTTTACTTCCCGTGTCGTTAATGTGAAGAAAACACTTTACTGAATCTGCCACTATCTCCGCGGGACGACTGGACTAGGACCGGTCTGTTCGCGGGACGCCGAAATACTCCTACCTAGCCCAGTCGTTTGCAGCCGGCAAAACCAATATCTAAACTTAATGTTAACCGAAAAGTGTTGGCTCCGGCCGAAGCGGTGATCACAAAATAAGCTACCTGCTCAGTGATCGGCAACTCAAACAGAAGGCTGCTTATCGTCGACGCGTGTGGCCAAAGAAAAAGAGAAGCTTCCGCTTGCGGGTTCGACGATTATTTATTTCGCCTCGACGCCTGCGCGGGAAATTTTTCCAGTGGTGGGGCTGCTTTCCCCTCCTCTTCAACCCCTCAACAGGGAAAACGTTTGCTCCGCTAGTTTCGCCTTCCGGTTTAGTTTACGCCGAAAACGGGATTAGCCAGGGCCCGCGTTTTATTGAAAACTGCTTTTTCGGCACCTTTGCTATTTCCCTCGCTGCCTTCCGTAGTTGTTCACACATTACCGAGGACCCGTTGGTTGTTAGGGGTTGGCCACAAGCCATAACGCCCCACCAATATATATTATATATATATATTATTATATACTAATATATTACACCACACCACACCCACACACACACGCACACACACTACAAAATAACCACGTGTCCGTCGGGCTATGCATATTGCAGTTTATCTCCTCTC